TAATTTTTTTAATCTAAAGTAAAATTAGAAGTTCTTGTCAATTTTACCATTGACCCAAGATTATGGTTATACCAAATGGTGTAAGAAATCCAAAACCAAGTAAAATTTTTCCATACTGCATTCTCGCTTAATAATTACAGTACAAAGTCCTAAATCCGGACTAATCAGGACTTCGGCGAGTCCGGATTTGGGATTTTTCTGGATATTAGATCATCAGTTTAAATCTAGTGAGACAGCATGTAGAAGTTATAAAATTAAAAATATGAAATCGTAATTTATGAAATAATGAGGTATTTATTAATCTAGAGGTGGTATCAAAATTTACAAAAAAAAAAAAAAAAAAAAAAAAGCTTAATATTTATTTGTTTACCTTGTTAAACATTTCTTTCAATGTAAGTTGTTTTAGTTGCTTCATTTTTTGTGATAATACTTCTTTTTTAATTCTGTAGACAGACATAATCTCTTGTTTAGTTATATTGTTGAAGTCTTGTAGCTGCTGTTTCGAGAATTCCGACTGACCCTTCAATCGAAATTTTCTCGTTTTCAGTAACTTCTCTGTTACTTTCTTCACTAACAGTAGAGGTATTTTATGTATCTAGAACCATACTACAAATTTCGCCATTCATTAATTGATTCATGATTGAAAAGCATTGTTATCACAATGAAAAACTTCTTTTATATCATCTTCATTTATTACTGCTTCTCCACATTTCTTTAAAAAATCCATCCGTTAATTGGAAAATTTCACCTTTGTTTTGCGATATCCAAAAACCTTTAAAATTAGTGGCTATCATCATCAAATTTAGCTATCCTTCACTATACATATTTGCATCATGAGCTTGGGGACTAACAACAAGTTGTACCATTAAATTTTATCTTGCTTCTATCACGCAGAGACAATTAAGCCTGAATTGTATTAGTTTAGTTATTTATTTTGCTTATGTCTATTTCTTGCACATGCTTAAGGCTTATCAGAGTTCTGAATAAATAAATTCCCACATATACTGAAGTCTTATTGAGGGCCGGCACAAGTTGTCATATTTTGATAAACATGTGGGGATGAAAGGAGAGTATAATAAATAATGATTCACCAGGTTAGCATCTGATCAACGATGTATCCATGTGGAAAGTTTCAGTTTGAGATATGTGTCAAGCAGATACGCAGCAATGGAGCCAACTTACTGATCGTACAAATTTATGCTAAAATGATTGTTTCTTCAATACCAAGGGATTTTATTTAGTGTCGAAGTGAAATTAATAATCAGGACTCTCCATATGTTTTATTATGCGCAGAGGGAGAATGAAATAAGCATGCACAAAGCCTACAAGAAAAAATGTTGTTGGTGGTTTTGAAGTCCGGATTTCGGACTTTGTACTGTATTTGCTTGTAAGCTTTGAGTTTGAGATATTTATGTATATCGTCATGCTTGATTTCTTCCCCAATTTATGGTTGTAATTGGTAAAAAAAAGTTCCAGTAAAAGTTTTAGCTTAATCACTGGTCATCTTTAGGTTCCACAAGAGAACCAAAGAAATTCATCTTGGTGTTCGAATTTCGTAACTACATTCCGTGATTTGATTTGATTGTGTATGAATCCATCCTTGGCTTCTGCACCACGCGCTGCCAATTGCACTTCTGGGACCAGTCTCATATGCTTGTCTACTATTTGAGAATGTCAAGGGAACTTTCCTATTTCAAACTGTGTACTGCTTCTAATCAATCTTATGTGTTCGTCACTGAGGTTCAAGGTAGCCGGTGGTTCCAAGGGATTGTTACAGTGATTCATCTCAAAACACTCCTCTGTTTTGAAATTTAATTTGGGAAGCATAAATTGTCATATTTTCCCCTTCCAGTTAGTTTTTCTTGTTTTCAGTATTCTTATCAGGCCAAGTTAGTATGTGCTCATTCATCTTCCAGTATCGCCAACAGGATGTTTTCAGAGTGAGCAAAATAATAGTTCCTCTGTTTAACTCTTTAAAATTTTCTGGCAAGAATGAACTTTCCTTGATCATTTCATGAACATGACATGTTCTATGTGCTGCTCTTGGGATTTTTTAAAATTTTAAACTAGGATGACACATAAACTTTTATAACACATTCAGCTAACAGCTTCAAGTCGTCTGTTGGTTTGGCAGTTGATACATAAAGGCAAGGAATTCTGTTGGCTGTAGTGAGCCATCTTGAGGGGACTAGCTTTCTAAGACTTTTGTTTACTACGTCTGAAGGGCACTTCTCCAAGGATACTGCCTTAGAAGTATCAAGGAGGTATTTTTGATCAGTACTGAGATCTTTTTTGGCAATTTAGGATAGGTCAACTGGAATAGAGAACCTGTCATGAGAAGGGTTTCACATATTTTCATGGATTTGCCTATTGTTCCAGAAAACTGTTGTGTCGGCCCAGATGTGTATTTCCATCAATCTTTCAAAAAAGATGGCGAAAAGGCAATTCATACGTGTGCAACAAGCATACAGTGCAATGCAGTTAATGACCAACCAAAGATCCACTTCTAGTTGAAGCCATCTTAGTCCAATGTAAGCAATGACTTATAAAGCAGAACTGGCAAAACACCAAATAATTAACACTAAAAAGTCATTGAAAAATCATGGAAGCCACATGATTGCTTATCCCAAGCTAGAACCAATAGTGAGATTAGAACCCGTTCTGCGTCTAATAGCATATATTGGCATTGAATTTGATATTTTGGTGGGGGAAGCAATTTCTCACACTAATAATGGCATTTTTGACAAAGAAATTCATGAAAAAAAGAATAAAACCATTAAAAAAGACAGTAAAAATATTCAATTGAGGTGTGGAACTTCCATATGTGAATATTTTGGACTGAAATTTGAATACAGTTTTTTCTAGCTCATTTGAAACCATATAATGACTCAAGCATTATGAATTTAAAAAAAAAAAAAAAAAAAAAAAAAAAGATTTTTCACTTTACTCTAATATGCATCCTTGTTTAAGATCAAAAACCAAGTAATAAGAATTTAAAATCATTTTTCTTTCATTCATAAAAAATTGTCTCTCCACACCTCTAGATTCAAAATTATGACAGTGTAATTTACCATTAAGTGAAAATAAAGCTGTTGCACTTAGAAAGGAATATTTTACTCTTCACACAAATTTATGAGAAACGGATATAAAATGAGGTTAAATATCATCATGAAATGCATTGTGAATAGCAAGCAAAATGGCCATCCCATCAGAATAGCAAGCAAAATGGCTTTGTTGTTTGGAAACCAGCACTCATATATAAAATATTGAAAAACTGTTGGGTTCTGTGAAGTGGAGAAATAAAAAACGACATGATAGAACTTGTCAAAACCTTCAGTCATAACTGGCTGAGTTCATATGGCAACAATAAAATGCCTGTAATGTGTTTGATGCTATTTTAGCTGCTATTACTGATTTATAGCTATCTAAAAAAGAAATTAATTTTTTTCAGGTTCTTATAATTGATTGTACTTGAAAGTAAATGAAATTGCTTCTTTTTATACATTTATTTCCATTGTTTAAAAGTTTTTTTTTTTTTTTTTTTTTTTTTTTTTTTTTTAAATATGGCTGGAAAATTTAATATATCTAATTAAATATTTTGGATCAGAATCATATATATAATCCAATAATAATGCATTATAAAGTGAATTTAAGTCAATTTAGTGTTCTTTTAAAATGGCATTGCTACACAATAGAACTACACAATGCAAAAACCTTCCAGAAACTCCCTGTTTCCATGTTACAAAGTTGACAGCTGTGAATTTTATCTTAAACAATTCTAGATTTTGTTTTTAAGGGCTCTCCTGGTAAATTTGGTTACAGATGTATCCATTTCCATGAAACAATTCCTTATGTCTGAAAAGTATCTGATATGAAATGAAAGTGTCTTCACAAATGAATTTGTTTCAGAACAACAGCCAAGTTGAAATGCACAGTATGGTACTTTTTAACACCTGCTTTCCACAAAGATGTAATAATTGCTTTCTGCCTCTGAAGAGTTCATGCTGCCTCCTACCACACTAGTTTGTTAGCCTCTTACATATATTGGTACAATACAGAAATGAGATACAAATTATGTGGTAATTATGTTCTCTCAAACAGTACTAAATCTGTGTTTTGAGTTTTTAAATCGCCAGTTATTTTTTTGTATAAACCAAGAATTTTTAGCAATCTTTTATTGCTGAAATGTTGGGGCTGCCTTATATGTGAATTCAAAATGATTTAAAATAATTTGATTACAGAAGTAGAATTATAATTTAAGTAACTGAAAGAAATATATCATTTTTATTTTATTTGATCTGAATCAAGTTTCTTAATATTGGTAGCTGACTAAAAATTTTTTTACCAATCCTTTCACATTTGTGCTTGAATTAAGTTGAGGTGAATATCATTATCTTCTGTTTCACCATTGTTTTCATCCACTTCATAGGTAATATATTCATTTCCATCAATAGCATTGCTCAGCAAAAGTCAGAGCCTTGAATCTAAAACTAGCAGAATATGTGGTTCTTTTTTTTTTTTTTTTTTTTTTTTTTTTTTTTTTTGTCTTTGACTGTATAGCAGAGATTTGGAATCATTCCTAAAAGCAAGAGTGCAAATGAGGGAGAAATATCTTATCATTTCTTGATAGTTACTACAGTTGTGAACTGGACTAAAATTTGTGTTATTGACAAAGCATTCAAAAGTTGGGAAAACTGAGAAAGAGAAACTGCACAGAAAGAGGAAGTGCATTATTTTTCAAATGGAAGTTGAAAATGAAAGCATTTACTTTCAACTCATCTGATAGATTTAAATAAATTTGACTATCAGTTAGTTATTCACAGTTTTAGTGATATATATGTATATAGTTAGATTTATGAGACAATTTAAATTTGGTATATGGTTTTCAGTTTTGATTGAATTTTTTAATAAAATCTTACCTGTTGGATTATGCAAGAATTGGCCTTTACTCGTAAATAAATTGTACTTGTTTATAATGCACATTGCACATGTATAATAAACTTTTTTTCTCTTTAGTTTGTTTCTCGTGGCTCTGTTCCTTTAGCAGTTAATAAGTATTTAGATGAACTGAATGTGATTATCAAAGATATTAGTAAACAACATGAAGTTATATTCAATGTAAGTTATTTTATTGTATTGCATGCATGTTTAAATTATTTTTTGATTCATATAATTTTATCATCCATAATTTGCTATTTGAATTTTTTTTAATTTTTCTTATATAAAATGTGTTTTTAAGTAGTATACAGTAATAAGTGTGCTACATTAATGTTTTTTAAATATATATATTTTTTGTATAAAAATTAATTAAGGCTTTTTACTTTAAATCTGTTGATTCTTTTTAACCCTCTGAGCAGTGTGGGGTTTGGGATCTGTCATGAAGTTTTGTATTTAAATAGTCTTTATTAGTTAAATTTGTATATTTCCTTATTTTATTCTTTATTTTCATAAACTTGCATTTATTAAGATGACTTTTATACTATAAAAAAATTAAGGAGCAAAATATCTTAAATTATAAGCCAATATATACCAAGTGACAAAAAATCTAATGACTGACTTTATCTGGTCATGGCACTCAGAGGGTTAAGTAAACTTTTAAAATTTTAAATCTCTGATTCAATGCTGAGAATAAACAATGTTATTAACTAATGCAAAATATTTAATGAATTAAGGCTGGACTATTAAAAACTGGTATCAGCAGTCTCTATGTTTTAAGCTAAACTAAAGGGGTGGGCTGTACTAAAGAAATAAAACAACTGTTATTGATGCATTATAAACATTCTACAGACATGTTCTGGCCTATTGCTGTGCGGTCTAAATGGATAGTCCCCCCGCCCAAGTAATATGAATGAGTTTGATAAGAATCTCCCATTTAGAAAGTTTACTATCTGCATGATGTGATAAATCAAGTTCAGGATAAAAGGTAATTGAATATCCGGTTAGAAAAACATCAATTAAAGGTCTCAAAATTATTCACATCTGTTGAGAGTTGAGAATTCCTTTGTAATGGTTCGTTTATTGCATGAATAATAATTATTTTTAATTTCAAATATTTTATGTTTTAGCACGTGTTAAATTAACTTTCACATTTTGTTAATATTGGTATTTATTTATTTTTTTGTTAAATGGCAGCAAATAATTGTTTGTGGTGATTTTGTTTTCAAATTTTGATTTTCTTATGCTGTTCTACGTAGCAGGCCTAAAAAACAATATATAGTAAGCTTACTTAATCAGTAGTGCTTCTTTCCATTGTAATTCAGTTTGAATATCAGTAGTTAAAGGCCATATATTATTAGCTCAGTTTAACTTCTGAAATGACAACAAATGAGTCTTCTGAAACTATTGTGAAAGAATTGATGCAGTCAGTAGAACTTCATAAGGTGATTGTAAAAATACCCTCTTTGTTTGCACTGATAACCCTGAGCCTTTTTTTTACTTCCTTGTATGAAGTAAAAAGGAAGTATTGTAATCGCGAAAAGTTTCAGGCAGCATATTTCAACAAAAATATCCATTTTGACCGCTATCGAATGCAATTTAACGATGTTTTTGCGTTATATCTGTACGTAAGGACAGAATAAAATACTCTTTTCCTTCAAAAAAATTATAAAACTGCTTTAAAATTAATTCTGAAGAGAATTTTTCCTGGCGTCTGTACGAACATATGTACGTATGTATCTCGCATAACTCAAAAACGAGTAGCCTCAGAACGTTGAAATTTTGTATATAGGACTGCTATAACATGTAGATATGCACCTCGTATTTTGGTTGCAATCGGCCGCACCAAACGTATATAAATATATTTATATATATATATCTACTTTGTTACCCGGCTCAGTGATCTCAGTTTCTTTACTCTTATATGTTTGTAAATTGTACATTTTTTGCTTTAAAAATGATTGAATTATGTTGTTTTTATCTTCCGGTTAAGGATTTTATGCCTTTTTTTAGAATATGCAATATTTTTAGAATTATCAGCAATTTTAAAATTGTTTAATTGCTGCTAGGTCTGTTTTTAATGGCGTCCATTGATGTTTACATTTGAAACAGGAGACTAGTGGATTTGTTGCCAGTCTAGAGAAACTTAGCTTCGCAACAACAAAGATAACGCATTCATTTATTATTGCCAATTAAATCATGCTTAATTCTTTCTGGAATTTTTTCGAGGAAATAAGTGTTTGAGATTTACTTCGTAATTTTTAATATAGATATTTTGAGTTTTTATGTATTTTTGCCTTCTCGCAAAGTGAGAACTGAATTAATTAAATTAGAAATACTCAATCGTCTGTGAAAAACTGTTTCTTTTTTGTTTTGTTTGCTTAATTTCTTTTATACATCATTCTAGCTTTATTGTAATATTTGAATAGAATATGTGGCAACGATTAGATAATTCTATTCTTTAAATGATATAAATTTTGTGCATTATGAGTTATAATATGAACGAAATATATACGTTAACTGTTATATATAATTATTGGATTATGTAACAGTTAACTTAGTTTCCGTTATATAATTATTATATAAGTTAACTGTTATATAATTATTAATACTGTTAAGTGAATCTAGCGCCAGAGTGTCGCCATGGTAAACAAATAGTAGTGAATTTTAAAGAATGCATTTATTCTGTTGTGGTTTATGTGCTGTCGGCGAAGTAGATTTAATTCAATCCAATAAGTTTAAATGAAATGCAAGAAAAAATGCATATAATTTAATATTCTAATACAAGGAAGTCATGTGGCGTACACATCAGATTTCCCCCCCCCCCAAATTGAAGTTCACTTCAAAATCAGTAACATTGTTTCAGAAGAAATGAAATTTAATTATTTAGTTTCATAACTTAAGCCAAAGTTCGTTGAAAACATTTGGGATATTGAAACAAGCGAAAGTGCTACAAAATAATCAATTTCTAAAACTGAACTGTTACATTTGTTTAAGGAAAGCAAAAATCTACGCTTTAAATGTTTGATCGTTAGTATTGAGTTTGGCAACATGAAACCAAGCCAGCTTTAAAAAAAAAAAATAAGATCAGTTGTTGCTACTGATGTATCTAAAAATTTAATTAAAACATTATGCCTTTAGAAGCTACGTGATTCAATAAGAAATATATTTTTTAGTTAGTGATGAAGATTTAACAAAGTTAGTATTGAGTTTGGCAACATGAAACCAAGCCAGCTTTAAAAAAAAATTAAGATCAGTTGTTGCTACTGATGTATCTAAAAATTTAATTAAAACATTATGGCTTTAGAAGCTACCTGATTCAATAAGAAATATATTTTTTAGTTAGTGATGAAGATTTAACAAAGTTAGCTTACACATTGAGCGGCAAGCATATTTCTTAGGCAATCCCGTTCAGGCCATGCACGTCGCTTAAAAGCGTAGGGCCAGCGATTCTTATCGCAGTAGAAGATAGTTTACGTTTGGAACGTGATTCCTATAGACATTCATTCAACACGTTACGCACTAAGCCTGTTTTGTAAATAGTTACATTCTATGCAAACATATTACAAAGCAGAAAATTAGCATTACTGAAGCCCGGAAAGAATTAGCGCTATCCCTTACAAGTTGTGGGAAAGAAGATATTCCATTGAACAAAAATGCAAGAATATCTAAAAAACGACAACATAAACTCCAAAGAAAACCAGGAAAAGCCTCTGGAGTACGGAAATATTGTAAATTATGTTATGATAAAAATGCAACTGAAGCTGGTAGAGTAATGGCCAGAAAAAAGACTAAGACAGTTGTCACATTAGTTAGCAGCTGTAATATAGAACCGTTTTTATGCTTACGTGTTTCAGTGAAATCCATTAGTTCTGTAATGTATCAAAGTTAAGTAAATTTTAAATAATTTTTCTGTAATTCCATAAAACAGTGTAAATTGTATAGTTATATATCATGTTACAAGCTGTCAGCCAGCGGTGGTCGATGCGACCTAAACAGAAAGTCTAGTGTCGGCCACAGATGGCTGACGTGGTCTAAACGGAAAGTCTAGCGTCAGCCACAGATGGCTGATGCGGCCTAAATGGAAAGTCTAGTGTCAGCCACAGATGGCTGACATGGCACTCAACGTGTTAAAATTAATAATATGAATCACAAACCAGAAGTATTTATTCTTAATGCACCTTCCATTTCTATAAATGATTTGTTGCATAAAATTGCTTTTCTTGAACGAAAAAATAATCAAAATTATCATTCAATCAAGATGAAGGGATTCAAATTCATGTGCATTTTAGGTGGTGTGTGTTGTTGCTGTAGATAAAATGAGGATAGCTTGGCTCGGTAATATTAACATTTTTATTTAATACTAGAAAAGATATATATTTCAATACACGTTTACTTATACACAGTCACACTGATTGCAGTTCACACGATAAGCATTTTTGCAGGTAGCAAGTCCACGTAGGTAAAAAATCATAAAAGTCATATTACAGCTACGAAGACATCACGAAGCAGAAGACCGGTGAGCACGTGCTTCACCAACAACAGCCAGGAACAGAGTTAATCGCATAGTTTCTTTACGCGAAGTCTCACGTGACTACTGACATCACTTCCTTCACTGATTACCAACTGGATTTGACAGGTGGTGCCATCTCTTGAACAGAATTTAAACTATCTGTGAGAACACTACATGATGTGGAAGCTGATTCGTAAAAAAATATGATCTCAATGGCAAATTTTATTTCCATCACTTTTGAATTAGACCAAAATGCATTCTAGAGAAATATTGCCCACCTGTGCACTTGGGTAAAACAGCCATTCCAAAAACCATGAAAACACAGATGGAGGTAGATTCAACAGCAAAGTTTTCTGCAGAAAATATGAGGGATTGTTGCACATTTCTTTTATTTGTTCATGACTGACGTTTAAATTTGCTCTTTCTTGCCAGTAGTGGTGCTGATGTAAGCATAATTCCAGCTACTTCTCAGAATAAATGTAAAACTGAATACGAACTGTATGCAGCTATTGACAGAGACATCTCCACATATAGTATAAAACTGCTAAGCTTGATTTGGGATTATGCTTTCATTTTCAGTTTCCATTCATAATTGTGCTGATGTTACAAGAGTATTTTAGAAGTTGACTTTCTTCACAAATATAACTTACTTATTGATATAAATAAGAAAAAATTAATTATGGGTGTAACAAGCTTATCGTCCAAGTCAGGGGTCCAGTGTCATGCTGAATGTGAATAGATATTCAGTCAGACAAGGAAAAAAGAACAGAATTTAGATCATCACTTTCACTTAGATGCTACAAAGAATGTTATGGTGATACATTCTTAAAGAAAATTAAGGCAGTAAAATTGTCATCTCTCAGTGAAACTTAAATTATATAAATTCCATCAACTCCTTCTGCATTTAATGTGTAACATATTTTTTCTTATTAATTTTAATTTGATCTGATTGTTTGAATCTACTGTAGACATTTGTGAAAATTTTTATGAAGATTCAACCAATGTGTAAAGATAATACTTGAATTTAATTTCGTTTTGCGTCAATAAATTGAACATTAAGTTTGTATAACTGTACGTACATTGATTATTATTTTTATTATTATATTTGACATACTAAACAATTAAAAACTTTTCTTTATGTTCAGGATTTTGTTAGTATAAAAATTACTATACATCAGAACCACATTATAAATAGTTCAGTAGCTTGAATCAGACATTATAAAATGAATTTAATTTGACATTCTCTCGATATTGTATTGCTGCATAGCGTGAAAACTTCCTGGTTTTTCAAATTACTTGGTTAGAAACTGTGTATGTGTTTTCAGATTATTATTTAATTTATACTGATTTCTAATGTCATAATTCCCTTGTTATAATATTATTTCATATTTCTTAAAGCGTGTGTCTCAAGATCAGCAAAAGTTAGAAGCTATAAGGAAAGCAGCAGCTCAACAGCCCATTATGAATACTGCTCCACAGATAAGAATACAACAACGTCCAATGAATATAAGACCTGGGACATATGCTAGAGCAACTATCGGTGGCAAGCAATATAATATTCCCTTACTAAATAATGTATTTGGGAATCAACCCCAGAGGTTTGTTTTTCACACTAAACCACCTGGTGTTCCTCGCATGGCACATCCTTCAAATCCTCCAGCACATCCTTCAAATCCTCCATTTCAAGCATCAAATTCGACATCTTCACAGCCCATAGTTACTGAAAATGATTGCTATATCTTACCAGATAAACAAGCTGAGGAAAAAACAACTCATACGTCATCTGTTACAATTGAGGAAATTGAATAAATGATTGGAAGTAAGGTATTATAGTATTGTATTTGTAATGGCCATTAAAGATGGAAATTTGCTAGTATTACTGTTTAAGGGCTTAAAGTGATATATATATATATATATATTTTTTTTTTTTTTTTTTTTTTTTTTTTAGGAGAAGGCTTTAAAGAAACAAGTCTTTGGTAATTCTTCGTTCATGCTGAAAAATTTCAAATCATGACTTGAATAGAAGTCTCTGTAAATAAATAAATGTTTGTGGAGTATTTACATCATTTGTTTATATACATATTCCCATTTTTGGCAATATTCATTATATCTTCTTTTGCATAAGATGTATACAAGATAGCCATCATCAGTATTTTCTGTATGAACTTTCATGTCTGAATCTAGATTCGATTCTCCATGCTTTGAGTGTATCATCATCTTATATACGTGTTACTTTTGTACATGAAAAGTTAACACATTTTAACTGAAAATCATCCATGCAATGAAACATTTTTCTTGGAAATATTTTTATAACAATATTCAGTTATAGTAAAATATTTGCTTTTGTTTATTTAATATCATGAATTTCTTCATAATATATAATTCTGTAGAAGAGTTTTCGTGTGTGTTTCTAGAATTTGAATTTTAAGCAAAAATTATATAATATGAAGAAAATAGGTATGTTAGGGAAAAAAAATGTATGTAAACTATATTACGATTTTTACCTTGCAATTTGCAAAAATGAAATTTTTGTAGTAACTTCTTTGTTTTAAATTTTATGTGTAGTGGTTATAAAAAGGAAATATAATTCCATTTTTAGTGATAATTAACTCCCTAGCTACCTTTTTAATTAAATATTGTGCTCAGAAAATAGTAATTCAAAATAAATAAAAATTTCAGATTAAATTATAACTTAAAATGAATTAAGTTATCATGAAGAAATATTCTGTGTGTTTTCATTTTTAATCCGATCTGCGTTCTGTTACTAAGACCTAATTTAAGTGTTTCAGTTTGTGTATGTTGCCTTTTAGATTGTACAATGCACAAAAAAAAGGGGGGGACAGTTCTACTGTCTGTCTACGAGAAGAATAGCTCCTGCCACAGTTTCTGGTGGGTGGTGGTCGCTATAGCAACAGGGCTAGTATATTTCAAATAGGGACAAATCAGGTGTTGCTTTATTGTTATTTTGTTTTTGGCAACTGTTGGCTGGAGGAAAAGAATTTATCATTCGTCCTTTAGACACCCCAATGGAAAATTTGTTGAGGTTCGTTTCTATGGCAACAGACAGCTGTAGACTAACTGCCGAGAGTTTTCCTTATGATAGACAGACTGTACATCTCCTGTTCTACTGGGCCGATTGACAAAATTCAAATTGTGTTTGTCATGTCTCAAAAGCGCGACTTAGGATATATATATCACATTTATATATAGCATCATTCTAATATAGGAATTTTGACACAAAATCGGACTTTTTCTGAAATGACATGCCATTTTTTTCCATGTTTCAATTCTATGGCTCAAATTATGCCAGACTACCAAGTTTTATAAAAATTGCACGAGTATTTTTTAAAAAATTATCTCTCAAAATTTTAGCTCCTCGGTGTTAATTGAATTTTGTATATATTTATTAATATCTCATTTTTTATAAAACTTTTTCTATTCTTCCTTTCACATTTCAAAATTTAGGTTCATTCCAAATAAAATTCACCCATTTTTTTATGATTTATTTAAAAAATTTATATTTTTTAATAATTTTAATAAATATTTTGAATTATAACCTGTAAAGTATTTACCATCATCTTAAAGTAGGTACATTTCTAAGCATACCTGTAAAAAATTAGACTTTTTTTATTCAAAATTTTCTGAGATATACATGAATTTACATATTTGCATGGTTTGAAATTTGGCATCTTTTTGCGGGCAATAATAACACCAAATGTAGTTTATGGATTTTGTTACAGTGAATTGCCACAGCTATTTTTAACCTTAAATTTTAAATAAATTGTTACGGAAAATTAATTATATGAAATTTTTTCCCTCAATGTTGCGTAATAAATATTTATTAATACTATATGAAAAGCTTTCCCTTTTAAATTATAGATGATGTTATTCAATTTTAAATTTTTTTTATTTCTTTCTTTTTTACTCTTTTTTTTTTTTTTTTTTTTTTTTTTTTTTTTTTTTGTTGTGTGTGTGTGTGTGTGTAACAGTAAATTTTTACCTTCGCCGTCTTATCGTCTGCTACTTTACTTCATTTAAATTGAATTGTCTAAAACTGACAAAAGTTTGTTTGATGTCTATTTTTACAATGTTTTTAAGCAAACAAGATGTTGACACTTTAGTTTATGTCCTAGCTTTAGGGAAAAAAACATATATATAAACATAAATTTTTACATTAATCCTCTTAGAATGAATGTTTTAAGTAGTAATTTTCTCTTATGTTGTAGATTATATAAAAAACATCTACTTTGATATAGAAATTTTTAGGCTTAAAAACTCTAAATAATATGATTAAAATTTTTTGCATCCGATATAAGAATCGGGTCACACTGTGCTACAGGAAAAGCGCTGCTGGAGTGGTTTATTTCTTTCTCATTTAACAAAAATCTTTTAATTAAAATATTAATCCTTTGGATTTTGTTTTAAACTTTATAGTTAAAATGTCTAGAAGCTGTCTTCAGCTGAAATGCATTTAATGCAACTGATATTTTAAAAAAAAAAAAATCGACATGAATGCAAAATTTATGGAAGTATAACAAACTAAAAATCTTAATTTTCTTGTGTCAGCACTGAAAACAAATGTAGAAGGAAATCAGGGAGGGGGGAAAGCAAAAATTTAAAGGGGAATCTACTTCAAGGAAGTTGAGAGTTCAAGGAGAAAACACTTGAACGTGTGCACCAGCAAATAGCAGCAATTCAGTTTGTGCTAATGGAAAAGACAAAAGCGATATAATTGCAGATTAAAGTGATTTTTGACTATATGGTTGTATAAATTTAAATTACTTCATAAAACATCATATCGTATCATAAACGGAGCATCCCATGATTTCTCAGTCGAAGTATTTAAAGATTCCGGAATTTATCCAGTGACGTATATAGATATCAGCTAAAGACATTTTCCCTCTTGATGGAAACAATCTTTCATTTCATCTCACACCTTCAAAATGCTTAGCCTGTAAAGAATGATAAAGGCTCTGACCAAATACTGATGAAATGGATTGATTTGGATTATTGCAAAGACGGGCTATCTGCCTTAAAGGGGGGATGCCTTCGTGAAGAACTTTCCTCGGTGAAACCAGCTCGTATACATGTTACACATGAGAAAAAAACACGAAAATGGGCATGCAATTAACCCGTTTGCTAGGATTCGAACCCTGGAGCAAACTATCGATATTCAGCGACTTTACCGCTCGGTCGTTTTGGGGCCCTTTTTGAAATGGAAGGCGATAAATTTATTTAAAATTAATGCCAGAAATACTAAGGTGTTTCAAAAAGTTGGATGCCTTTTTAATAATACTTGCAGAATGCCTGAAAAAAAAAAGCAAGCCAATTAAGAAGAAAAAATAAGTTTTTGCATAAAATTTAGTATTTTTTATATTTTTTTTATTTTTTTATTTTTTTATTTTATGGTATTTGATTCTTGCGATTTCAAAAATAAAATATTTGACTAAAATATTAATAACATTTTAAGAAATTAAATATAGAATCATAAAAATTGTGTAAAGCAATGGGCACAATTATAAAACTGTTTAAAGCAATGTATACAAGTCATCCTAAATTAAAATGTCAGATATATATATCTTTTCTGAACGGAACATTGAAAGGCTTGTTAACTGTGCTTTACTGTATTGTATATTAACATTGCAGTCTGGGTCACAAAGTATTCTTGCGAAAGAAATGCAATTCAAATAAAATCAAATTCTGGAAAATTTATATTAATAAATGTATTTAAAATGTGCAGTTCGCTTGAATGAATAAGAAATTTTAAAACAATTATCTGAAGAGAATGCTCACAAAAAATTAAAATAAAAGTCTAAAATTTCAAAAATTACCTAAAATAATAATTCTGACTAAAAAATATAGTATGAAGAAAACTATTTGAAAAAAAAAAAAAAATAGTAAATGTTGCACCTTTTGTTTAAACTTCACAGTTCAAATGAGTAAATAGAAATTTTTAAAACAGTTATTTGAAACAAACTGTGCAACTTAAACATATAAAATGAAATTCGAAAAAGAAAAAATATTTAAAATAATAACATAAAAATATAACATAAAGAACATTGTTTGAAAGAAAGAACGATGTGAATTTTTTTCCTCTTATGCTCAATGTAAAATGGCGCAACTAAAAAAAAAGTGCCAATATAAATTTTTCAATTTCTCCAAAAATTTCGGACCAAATTTTACAAAATTTAATATTAATTCATAATTTGAGTCATAGAATCGAAATATGTAAAAAAAATAGTCCAGAAAAGCCTGATTTTGTGTCAAAATACCTATGTTAGAATAGTGCTACATAAAAATCTAATATATATCCTAAGTCGCTCTTTCGAGACATGAAAAACACAATTTTAATTTTGTCAATTGGCCCAGTAGAACGGGAGATATAGAACTGTCCCCCTTCCTTTTTTTTTTTTTTTTTTTTTTTTTTTTTTGCACAGTGTATATACAGTGGTTTTTAAGCAGTGTAATTGCAAGTTGCTTTCATAGTGTGCATTTTTTATTAAAAAATTGTGTGATACTGATATCTAGTTTTTTTTAAAGCTGTATAATTTGATTAAAAATCTATAAATAGTGTACAAAAGTTTTTATTTGTATAAACTTTCTAGTTACATTTAAAAAAATACATAAAATAGCATAAGTTGTCAAATCTCTGCATTTCAAGTATCTCTCTCTTCTTTAAGCTGAAACTCTAATTGAGTATCATCAAATTTTTATTCTTTCTTTAAGAAAACATGTTATAAAGTAATCATCTGTTGCTGTGTCAAAAAAAAAAAAAAAATATTCTTTCTATAAGGAAATTTTGTCAGATATATGAGTTTTCAACATGATATAAAAATTACAGTTAAGTAAAAATCAACTTTACATTGATATTGGTGTCTTAGGAAAAGAGTTTCCTAACAAAACAAACAATTCTAAGGTTAATTTTGTTATAGAATTTTTGTAAAAATTAAAATTTTTATGGTATTTCTTCTTTATTTTTGCAAAACTGTGGTTGTAAGTTTTATAACTTTAATCATCAATTTTGTCATTTGAATAGTGTCACTCAAAAAAATTTGTGAGTGTCAAAATAAAAATAATCCATTACTTCATACGTTTAAACTAATTAGATATTTTGTGTTTTAGGCATTACAGTCTAGTTTATTACAGCTTAAATATCCTGCAATTTTTATTGATCATACAGGATATCTTAAAAATTTACCCAAACACAAAACATTGTAATTTAATATGTGTTTATGCAGTTAGGAACAGTGTTTTTTGTAGCAGTTTTATATGCGTCACAATGTGGTATGTTACATATACATCTGTTTTATATTTATGCCAATAAAAGCACTGTTGTACTGAAATATCTGGGGATACTATTACTTGGGTAGCTTTGTATAAATTTTTATATCACCCATAAACAGTTGTTGCTTTTTTAATTTTTATTTAAATGTATTATGAGAAATGATCATTGTACAGCTTTCTTTCATGTAGATTAAATTGGTCAGCATAAATTTTCTGAACAATTATTCAGATTAGTGAAATGAAAATTCTTGAGGATAGGTATAAATGAAAAACAAAAGGCTAGATATTGTGCATATCTTCTAATTGAGTAAAATTTCAAAAGGTGTTTTTTTTTTTTTTTTTTTTTTTTTTTTTTTTTTTTTTTTTTTTTTTTTTTTTACTTTGCAATATTCATTTAGAAAAACTGAAGTTTATCAGTATAATAAAATTATCTTAAAAGTTGTATTTGTTTCTTAAACATAATAATGATAAAAATCTCAACTATACCCAGCCATGTATGCTACTTAAATACACATTGGCATACATTCCTTGCAAATCTTTTTACTATCAACTAATTGGACATGCTTGCTGTAATCAGTCCCCCAGCATAAACTTTGTTTCCATCAGTTTCTAAATGGCCTTATATATTTGTTCTGTGCATTTTTACTTCTTTGTATGAAGTAAAGGAAGTAATGTAATTGAAAAATTCAGGTATCATATTTCAATGGGAATACGCATTTGGACAATATAATTAGCCATCAAATGTTGAAATTTTTTATATAGGATTGCTATAATACCTATTTGTGCACCCTCCTTTTTTATTGCAATAAGCAGAAACAAATATGTGTGTGTGCAAGTGTATACACACACATACACACACACATATGTATATCCATCCCATCCTTACCTGGCTTAAAAATCTTCA